CATGATAAACTTAGTGTCCCTTCGGGCGGGATCATATCCAATAAATCACGCCTAAAAGGCGTGACCAATATCAAGGCCCAACGACTTGATTTCTAGTTTTTCTTGAGGACTCGGTAGAAATCCCGTCTAGAAAGTTAAACGCCTTGCTTAGGGAAATGCCTTCGTACCACCCAAGGAGAGGTGACAAGTGAAGGTCGCCCAAAGGGAGGTATCACCTCTCCCTATGAATTTCCTACCACCCTGTCATAGAAAACGTGGGATAAGACATATATTGGATAAATGGAAAGTCGGAGTCATTACTAACCACATCTCTTTTAGAAATAAGTATTCAACAGTCCACTATTAACATAATGGATAAAGACCATTTCCAAGAGAACCTTAGGCCAATGGGCCTATATAAATAATCTTCATCCATGTAGGTTAGTAATTTAAAGCTCCAATGTACTAAAAATTAAGATATGACAAATGATCCCTATGAACCTATGAAGAAATTTGCACGTTCGAGATGTCCTAAGAGCACTTTCAACTATGCAACTCATCTTTGGATTGTTTTTTAATCCCATTATACCACATTATTTTGCAGCAACTCATACAATTTTAATTTTAATGATGCAAGTCTAAATAATTTATATTAAATCTCATAACTTTATCTCATATATTAATTTTTTTATTTATATAAACTTTACTATAACTCAAAATATCATTAAATAATTTTAATTAATATTGATATAAATAAAATGAAAATTAATTTTTTTATAAAAATAATTAAAATTAATATATGAATAACATCACTGAATTAGTCAAATTTAAATTTCATCATTATCATGTCCAACACATTCTCAAATATACTATATTATATCTACTTGAATTATTGATTAATTTGTTTTTCACAAAGATTTGTTCTTCTTTATGGTCTTATTGTAATATTCAGATGAGGACCTTAAATATTCCGATTTGTTGAGACATTGTTATCTACATTATTATAAGGATAATCAAAATCACCTCTATAAATATGTCGTTATTCTTTAACAATCATGTTATGTAATATGATGCCGACATATATGATATGCTTGAGGAATTCCACATGCCACGCACGTGCTGGATCATATATAATTACAAATCGAGATTGAAGCACCCCAAATGTCTGCTCCATGTCCTTTTTTAACAGATTTTTGATGTTGGCCAAATAGTTTTTTCCTTGCAACACTGACATGGCCTTGACAAATAAAGTTCACTCGGAATACATACCATATGTTAGATAATACCATATATTATATGAAGTCTCATTGATCGTACATTGCACCATGGGAGTCTGTCTTTCTAAAATATCGTTAAACATATTGGATTGATTTAACACATTAATGTTATTGTTTGAATTTGAAATACCAAAAAATGTATGTCAAATCTATAAGTCTTTTATGCCACAGTTACACGCATGAGCGTGAGTTTACCATGATCACCTAGAAAAAAATTCTTTCAATGCAACTTGACACAATTTCAATTTTTTTGTTCTTTTTAAAGAATGTTCAGTCGATATTCCCATCCATTTAGGTTCAAATTTTAACAGTGTCCATGCATATTCAAGATTGAATATGCACCTTCATCCTGAGCAAAAAAAAATGCATCTACCAAGATATGTTTCTACGATGTCCCACTTTCATTTTCATGAACCATTTGTTTGTAACACCTAACACATTTTTGAACAATGTCATTTATTCGATGTCACCGATATTGTAACTGACCATGTTGCTTTTCTCATGAATGCCCACAATATTGATTATAAATGGATTCAATTCTTAACCAAAAACTATTTGTTTTTTGATTAACTCTTACAATTGAATCCTTTGAAACATTGATGCATAATTTCATAAGAAGTGTATCATCATCTCTTATGAATAATTCTTGAGGTTTTTTTAAAGAACATCTTTCTTCTTTTTCAATACCAACTTGAGTTGAAAATTGTAAAACTTGACACTCAAACATAAATTCAATCGATGTTTCAAGTACATTGCAAGAAAAGTCCATCCCACATGATTTTGTTTGAGGTTTATAATACATATCAGAGTTGGTTGGTCGCAGCAAGTATATGACGAAGTTTGTTGTTGGTGGTAGAAATTGAGAATTTTGAAGAATATGAATCATAGACATCTGAAAATTTTGTACGAAATTGTGAATAGAAACTTAAAATTGAAGAGAAAATAAAACTGTAATAAAAGTTTGTGTGAAATTTTCAAATGAGCTAATTTATAAGATTCTTTTTAAACAAAAAACAAGAGTAAACAATTGTTGTAACATAAGGTTATTTATTAACTTTATTATTATTTTAATAAATGTTATCGTTGCTTTGCCGCAATGTCTAATTCTAACTATTTTCAATTTCTCAATTATGTTTTCTAGTCGAACAAATTCTCCAAAAATTCCGGTTGAAATTACTCTAAATGGTCACACACGTGTTAGTGTAATGAGTATCAATGGCTAAGCCAAAAAAATTATAAAGTCTGGACAAATTTTCATTAGCTTTATAATTTTCTATCAAGACAATATTTGACATAATAATTTTTTGACAAACCGTAACAGATAAACATTCTTCAATAAGTTCTTGAAACAAGTGACTTTCTCTATATAAATAAATATCGTAAACTTGTTATAAACACAATCACATAGGTTCCGTGTGCGCGATAAGCATATGGTTGTATAAAGAGGAAGACAATAGATAACCTAGACAATGGAGAAGCCGCATTGAATGCCTCACATATTTACTAAGTTCAACTAAACAATAAGCTGAGCAAGGTAAAGCTTGTAAGTTGTAACTCACTTTTAGGTGTCTAGATTATGGTTTAGAAGGTAAAGCTTGTAAGTTGTAACTCACTTTTAGGTGTCTAGATTATGGTTTAGAAGAAAATTATGTCTCCATACTAATTTAATGGGTGAAACCTCCATACTAATTTAATTGGCGGAACTAGAACTTGTTAAATGAAAACACTGTGTATGTAAATATCATAAACTTATCACAAGGAAATAATTTACAAAATTTTCACCAATTAGTAGCAGTATAAGCACGCTTAAGTTAGAACTATACACACCTTGGTTAAGAATATAGGTAACCATTTTTAATGAGTTTAAGTTTAAGGTGGAAATTTTGAGGTTCAAGTCTCTCATAAGTATGTCTCTTTAGGATACTATTTTGAGCGAGGTGTTTTACTAAAACCGAAATCTTTTCCACGATGTAATCTGTTTAAGTTACTTTAAGTATTTTTTAAGCTACTTGAAGTTTACAAGAGATAGTTTAAATCCAAACCTTAGCAAAAGTCTATAGCTTGAATCTTTCAAACAAAATGCTAAGAGGGTCTAAAGCAAGTTCTGCAATCAAAAAACAAAAAACAAAAAACAAAAAAATCAAGTCATTCACAACATGCCATTTCAAAATTTTCAATGTCATATTTTTCAATCTACCCATAATGATTGACAGCAAATAAAGCTAATTATCAAATGAAAGTGAAGTGAAAAATAAACATAACACAAAAAAACAAATCTTAATTTCTTATTATCTAAATAAGATTGTAAATCGAAACCAAGTGAGAGTAAAGTTATGTACTAAGTACTAACACACATTTATAATTCCAATAGGAAGTGGACTTGTGTAGACTTGAATTTTATTGTTGATTTCAGAGAGTTGTATCAAGAAGGTTTAATTTCACCTTTGCTTGACTTCAAATTTTGCTTAGTAAAATTCATTTCTGTTTCTATTATTTACAAGTTATGTGCTTATCAACAATTTTATTCTCTATTTGGTATGAGTCACAATTTTTCAACTGTGTGTTGTGTTAGAATAGAAGTGGTATCAAATATTAAAGTAATTTAGAAATAGAAAAACATAACATAATGGATAATAACCTCTCTATGACAGTGTATCTAAAAGATAGATATAATATGATTTCAACAAAAATTCATGTACACAATTCACCAATATTGATATCATTACCCTAATAGCAAAAACTAAATAAAAAAGTTAGCAGGAAGCTGAAAATTGAGGTTAGTTTTCATGATTCAACCAAAAAAAAAATCGGTTGAAACATTTTGTCGAACATGTGACGCGCGAGTTACAAAACGGTAGCAACAAATACAATTCTTCGCCAATTCATACACCGCAATCACCAATCAACAGTACCAGCAGTACAACAACTCAGCATCGTGAAGTGAAAGAATTGAAGCAAAAAGAATCAAGAGATGTGATTGAGGCATTTTATCGAACACCTTGTGAACAAGACTCAAACTGTGGTAATGATACGCAGCTGAGACGAGAGAGGAGTTATCATGGATTTGAGAACGTTGTGAATGGCGTCGAGATCGTCGCCGTCGTCGTAGGATTTTAAAGAAGATGAGAGTGTTGAAGAAGATGGGAGTGAAAATGTTGAGCGGAAAAGAAAAATACCTGATTTTCTACTTGGCGGTGGTAGAAGAGCCTGGGCAGCTGCCCGCCACCTTTGATGAGTATTGATATGAAATTATGAATCATAACATTGTTATAATAGTAAAAAAAGTGAAAGAAAAAAAATATAAGATTTCATTTTGGAAATCAAAAGTGAAAAAATTATTTATAAATTAAAATGAAATGAAAAAAAAATATTTATAATTTATTTATAACATTTTAAAACAAAATGAAAATTTTAAAGTCAGATTGTTAACAATAAATTTAAAATCAATAAAGCGCACACATCCATATTTAAATAAAAAAACAAATAATAAAATATTTAAATCAGGCCCGCGGATAGAGCCGAGCCAAATCTTTTGAGTTTTTCGGGGTTTAAATATTTTAAATTAACTTAAGTAGAAAATGTGCGCGCCATTTTCAAAAAGAGTAAAAAAACGAAAACTAAACTCCGCCAAATTTCAAGTATAATACAGAAAGCTCAATCAAATCCCAGTCATAACCAAAAACCCTAATTTTCATCTCTTTCTCATTGTGTTTCAGAGCAACAGTGAACTACACCCAGAGCGAGATGGAGAGTGATGCCTCAAAGAAAAGAACAAACACCAATCAATCACCTTCTGTTCTTGTTCCCAAGAGGCAGAGGGTTGTTTTGGAAGAAATTCCAGATCTCAACATTCCTGATTATCACAACCCTAACCTCAGCAAATCAGATTCAACATCAACGCTTTCTTTACTTCCCAATTCCAATTTGGATAACCCAGTTTGTAACAAAAGCAGTGTCAAACGTGAGAATCAACAGATTATTGAACCTTATGTATCCGATATCTCTGATTATCTTCGCACGATCGAGGTAAAACGGAGACCAGCGGTTGACTACTTGGATAATGTTCAGAAATGCATTACTACAAACATGAGGGGGACATTGGTTGATTGGTTAGTTGAGGTTGCTGATGAATACAAGCTTCTTCCAGAAACTCTTCATCTAGCTGTTTCTTACATTGACAGATTCTTATCTATTCAATCTATCAATAGATCCAAGCTTCAGTTGCTTGGTGTTTCTGCTATGCTCATTGCATCGTGAGATCTCAACTACTTTTCTTTTTCATGTTTTTATATACTTATAAATGTTGTCTTGATTTGCTTAAGCATTAAAATTGAACACTTTTAAATATGCAGGAAGTATGAAGAAATCACTCCACCTAAAGTGGTAGATTTCTGCCAAATTACTGATAACACCTATGAACTGCATGAGGTTAATATCATACTCATTTCTATAGTTTTGTATCAAATTTTCTATAATTTTTTTCTCTGTTGCTTTGTTTCTCATATTTATTGCTGTTAATGTAGGTTTTAGAGATGGAAGCTCACATACTCAAATCCCTAAATTTTGAAATGGGAAACCCCAATGTCACCACATTTTTGAAGTAAGGATTTTTTTTTTATATCTTAAAATTGAATATCTAGACTTTGCTGGATTGGGATTACTTGTACTGATTATGTCTATTTGTAATTTGATTTGTTTTACTTCAGGAGGTTTGTTGCAATTGCATCTGAGAATCGAAAGGTATGTTGAAATGTTGTTTTATTATTAGTTTGTAATGTCAAATGCTTTAATAGTGATACTAATTGTTGTTTGTTTTTGTTTTAATTGCAGACTTCCAGTTTGCAGTTTGAATATTTGTGCAACTATCTTGCTGATTTAAGCCTTCTTGAGTATGAGTGCATACAATTCTTGCCTTCCGTTGTGGCTGCCTCTGTTATATTTCTTGCCAAATTTATTATTCGGCCTAGAGTACATCCATGGGTAAATATTTGATGTTATGGACTGTAGTCTATTTGATTGTCTAAAAGGGTGGTATTTCAACATGCTTAATGTTTTGAATATATTGCAGACTTTGTCCCTCTATGAATCATTGGGTTATGGATCTGATGATTTAGAAGATTGTGTTACCATTCTACATGATTTGTATTTGTCAAGAAGGGCAGCATCCTTGAAAGCTGTTCGTGATAAATACAAGCAGAACAAGGTGATTCTTTTGACTTTTAACATATCTTTTTGTAGCAGTAAAGTCATATCATTACAAGGTGGTTGATTTGAAATCATTATTTGTAACAGTTCAAACGTGTAGCAAACTTGCCTTCCATGCCAGAGTTGCGAGAACATTACTTTGAAGAAGTTCATAGCTGACAACTATAAAGGACTTTTTGAGGCATCCTAATGTGAAATGAATTAGTTTCTTCAGCACAAATGGTGATAATTTCAAATTTTGGTGTTATGTGGCTTCTAGGGGAATCATTTTCTTCTACAGAAGTTGCTGATACTTTCAAATGTTACATGAGTTTTGACAACCAATCAATTACTGATAAAAACATCTACTGAATTTCGTTAATCAAATTATCAATTAGTACCACTGATGGGCACATCTGCCAGATTTTGATAATCCTCACTGACTCTTTTCTGATGGCTCAACTTTGTGTTCAAGTTGTCAGATACAGCCTATTCTCTTTTGATCTTGCCTACGAACTAATTCTCCTTCTGATCAATTAGTACCACTTACGGTCACTTGTTGAATATTGGTTATTGTTGGTAAATAAAATAAAAGTGTATACAATATAAGTGGCATATATATGAGATACTACATGATTATTATTTTTGCAATGAAGAATAAAGGGCTTTTCCTATATACATGAAATATCCATCTCTATCTTAATTCAATAATTTGTACCCTTTCTGTTGTCACTTTCCACACTATTGATTATTCTTGCTTTTTTCATTTTCCCTAAGTTTTTAGCAATCTTATTCCTTCTTTCATCTATATTCTTTTTAATGAGATAAAGGGGGAAAACAGTAAAATGTGATAGAGCACCAGCCATCAATATTGCTCTTGACAGCATTTGAGAAAATGTTAGTTGTTCTGTTCCATCAACATCATTGTAAAATGCAGTCATCAGCCAGTAATTCCTTAGCTAAATGTAGTTATGCTTATATACCAGAATCAAAGATACCTTCTTTTCAGTACCTACTCATCCATCCATACAATTTTGATTTTTGAACTACCTCCTAGGGAATATGAGTTATTGTGTGTATTAACTACTAAGTAATTTGGCAACAAATAAGCTTATGGTTACGGTAAGATTATTATTACTTGATCCGTCCTCCCACTCCTAGTTGTAGTACTAGAAGTATATTTATTAGAGATATGCTAGGATAGTTAGTTTAGAACCATCATAATTGCTAAGACTGTGTCAGCTTGGAATGTACCTCACTTGCTACAGCAGGTCAACTGGTTGCTTCTATAAATGCAACCAGTTGTTCTCTATTTGTAACTAACAAGTTCAATCAATAGAAAATTAGTTAGAACTGAAATGAACAGTCCAATTGCAAATTCTATCATGGTATTAGATTGCTAATGTAATCCTAGGCCATGACATCACCACCGGCTTCACCGTCTACTTCTGCTCAAGTCTCTAGAGCTTTGGCGTCGGCAATGATGTCTGCAAATGATGAATTGTGTCGTTTCAATTTCTTGCTCAAGATTGCGCATAAATTGGATGAGAAGAATTTTCACCTTTGGCGTCAACATGTTGAACCTTACGTTAATACGCACGATCCCATTGAATTCGTGGTTGGCATACAAATTCCACCTCAATTCCTTGATGATACGATTCACAACTCTAGATATGTGTTTTTGAGTACTTCGTGTGGCTTCAAAAGGATCAAATGTTGTTATCATGGCTTCAATCTACGCTCTCTAGCGAAATTCTCTCTTGCGTGCTAGGATGTTCGCACGCACATCAACTATGTGATCGCTTGTTCAGTTACTTTCAAAAGCAAACACGTGCAAGAGCTTGTCAGTTGCATGTGGAACGTCGTGTAATTATGCTTGATGCTCTATCAATTCAGGACTATTTGCTCAAGATCAGGACTATTGCTGACGCCTTAGCTTCCATCGGTGATTATTTACCAAGTTCACATCACATAGATGCGATACTTGAAGGTTTGTCTTCAATTATGCTCCAGTTGTTTCGGTTATTGAGAGTAAGTTTGGCATCATGTACTTAGATGAAGTTGAAATTCTGCTAGTTGCTCATGAGCTTAGGCTTGCAAAATTCAAGAAAACTTCAGTTCCAAATCTTGTTTCTTTAAATCTAACTCATATTGTTCCTTTATCACCTGTTCCTGTTGACTCTCAATCTGCTAGTTATGAACTTCCTCCCCCCCAGGTCGCTCAACAAACTCCTAGGCATGATTACCAAGCCTTTAGAGGTGCCAAACCTGGTCATGGTTGTAGAAATGGCAGAGGTAGACAGGGTCGATTATCCAGCATACAATGTCAAGTTTGTTCTAGGTTTGGGAACTCTACTTTAAACTGTTGGCATAGATTTAACTAACAATTCCAGTCTGCTTCTTTCAATGGCAAACCTTGCAATCAAGCTCCTTGGCAGAGTTATACTAATCCATATGGCAACAATGTTTGGACTAGGCCACCTTAAGTCCTTAACCACCAAGACATGCTTCTCCTCTACTAAGTCCTCCTAGCACCTTTGTGGCCAACACTTTACCTTCCACTTCTACTTTTTTGTTTCCCGATTTAGGAGCATTTTATCATGTTACTAGTGATGCAAAGAATCTCCAACAACTCAGTCCCTTAGAAGGACATGAACAAATTTACATAGACAATGACCAAGGTTTGCACATTCACTCAACTGGTTCTAGCTCTTTTCATTCCCCTTTCCAACCTCACACTCACCTTACACTTAGTAAAATCCTTCTCGTTCCCTCCATAACTAAAAACATAACGAGTGTTAGCAAATTCTCAAGAGATAGCAATGTCTATTTCTTATTTACTGTTGATAAATACCTTGTCAAATCACATGTTTCTAATGTTGTCCTTCTAGAAAGTCATGTTGAGAGTGATGACCTTTATGAGTTCCCTCTTATAGCCATGTCTAATCCTGCTAAGTCCACTATATTGCCTTCTTTTTTGTTAATAAAGTTGTACTTAGTGTTTTTTCTGCAAGTGTAGATGCTAATTTTCCTAATGTTTGGCATCTTATACTAGGGCATCATAATGTTCATGCCTTAAAATTTGTGTTACAAAGCTGTAATATTTCTTTTCATAATAAAGATCGTACTCTATTTTGTTTAGCCTGTTGCATGGGTTAAGCACATAGGTTACACTCACCTGTCTCAAACACCACATATTCTCAACCTTTAGAACTCGTTTACAATGACTTATGGGGCCCCTCTCCTAACCCTTCTACCTTAGGTTTTAATTACTACATGTCCTTTGTAAATGCCTATTCCAAGTTCACTTGGATTTATCTACTCAAATCTAAAGCTCAGGCTCTTTCTATCTTTTAATAGTTCAAAGTCATGGTCGAACTTCAACTTAGTTTTCCCATCAAAGCTATTCAATTAGACTAGGGGGGTAATTTAGACCTTTTACTAAATTTCTAACTAATTTAGGCATCATTCACAAAGTCATATGTCCTCTTACAGACCATCAAAATGACATCGTTGAGAGAAAACACAGACACCTAATGGACATTGGCTTCACCCTTCTAGGTCAAGCCTCTTTACCTTTATCCTACCGGGACTATGCTTTTTCCACTGCAGCCAATCTCATAATTAGGCTACCTTCATTTTCTCTTAACTTCCAAACCCCGCATAACTTATTGTTCAAACTACAACCTGACTAAACCTTCTTAAAAGTCTTTGGTGTACCTGTTTTTCTCTTCTTAAGCCTTAGAATACCCATAAACTTGACTTCAGGTCCCAATAGTGTCTCTTTCTTGGTTATTCAACTTCCCACAAAGGTTACATGTGTTAATTAGAAAGGTTACTACTCTAGTCTTCCCTCTCCACTATTTCCTCTAGTCTTACACCTGATAATGCTTCTGACCAATCTAGTCCTTCAATTCAATTAGACCTTCTGACCAATTCAGCCCCATTAGTGCTTCTTCATCATCCGATAATGCTCAGTCCATTCCTCCCTTGTCTATCCTTGTTCCATCCAAACATGTGAACCCTCAATTTATCAAGGAAAGCAATTTCCATGAGTACATTATTCACAAAGCTCCAATTCATCAATGTCATAGGCTTTGGAAAGAACCACTTTTATCACAAAGAAACTTTTTTTCCTCTAAGCCAATTCATACTGTGAACCATCTCCTGAGCATCTACAAATATTATCTTGAATACTTCTACCAGAGATGAAACCGGTTTGGTATGGAGACATTATCCTATCTATATTCTTCTTGAGCCTATTTACAATGATTTTGTTCAACACTTTATAGATAGTGTTGCAAAAGATATAAGCCTAAATTGATTCACTAGTTAAGGATTTTGTGATAGGACTCAGTTGAGAAAGAATTGCCACGTGAGCAGCTGATTTACAAGGAATCAAGTAAACCCCAAGAGTGGAAAGTGAATTCTAGAAGGAAGGGTAAGAAGGGAATTGGTGGCTAGTTAGTTACAGTATTGTGACGTGGCTTAAGTAAGGAGAGCACCTTGTATTCCATTTCCACGATATAAGGAATCAGAGAGAGAATTTAGATCTCACCTTGGATTATAGTGATTTACTAGCATGTATAGGAAGCTATAGCTTCCTATTAGGAGCCTAGCTCTTGTCAGATCTAGGGTTACATTCCCCTTTTCTGTAACTGTTTCCATTCATATTCATTATAATAAAACTCTCTTTTCCTCTGTTGTTTGCCTGTACTGTTATATTACTGCATTCTGAGTTTTGGCCCGTAACAAGTGGTCCGACCTACCGGATTCCGACAGAGGAGCCAGTGAATGCCACCAAAAAAGGTGACGTTACCGGCGTTCACAAAGATGGAAGCCAGGGTCGAAGCGTTAGAGAGTGAGATCACATAGGTGCGTTCAACTCTCGTCGAGGTGCAGAACTCAGTAACGACAAACCATGCTAATTTGATAGCGATGTTGGAGAAATGCTTGGGTAAGTCGTTGACTGTAGACGAAGGAGATGCGAGCGTATCCGGCAAAGGTACGGCGAGTACGATTGTCAACAGCCGTCATGGAGATGCTTTGACAGAGTATCGCCAATCCGTGAAGAAGGTAGAACTGCCTTCGTTTACCGGTGAAGATCCGGCGGGATGGATCTCACGTGCGGAAGTGTATTTCCGCGTCCAAGACACGATACCAGAGATGAAAGTAAGTTTAGCCCAACTGTGTATGGAGGGAACAACGATTCATTTTTTTAATTCTTTGATCGGAGAGGCGGAAGGGTTGACATGGGAATTGTTGAAGGAGGCTTTGTTGGAGAGGTATGGAGGACACGGGGAGGGTGATGTTTATGTTGGAAATCCACCAATACTCTATGATGAATTTCGACCACCACTGATGATAAGTTATGAAACAAACAAATAAAATAACAATGGAGATATTTCTGCAGAGTTTCTCTCTGCCCACAAACTGTGGAAACTTTATTAATTCACTTTGCAACTGCAAAATACTGTGAATGAGTTCAATGACTTGAATTACAAAATAAGGGTTACTCCCTCTTATTTATAGATTTAGGTTAGCTTGCTCCCTAAGCTAAACCCAAGCCCAAAATATCTCTTTACTAAATCAAATCTAATCTAGATTTAAATTCAAATCTATTTAAATCTAAACAAATCAAATCTTCTTTTGACACCTATGAATTACAATTTAACACACCACCTAATTCATTGTGTCTAAACTGTCTATGTTCATCATGGCCCTTAGCTTTCTGAATACTTCGACTTGCACTCCCTTCGTCATGATGTCTGCAATCTGATTCTCAGTTCTGCAGTGTTCCAAATTCATCTTCCCATCTGCTACCTGCTCTCGAAGATAATGGAACCTCATTTCGATGTGCTTACTTCGACCATGTGCTATTGGGTTCTTCGCCAGGTTGATAGCTGACATGTTGTCTATCTTCATGGTAATTGCTCCATGATTTTTCCCTGTTATCTCTTCGACCAAGTTCACCATCCAGGTTGTTTGGCATGCACAAAGAGAAGCAGTTATGTATTCTGCTTCGCATGATGATAATGCTACTACTGGTTCTTTTCTCGAACTCCAAGCAATTGTTGCACCACCTAGCATAAACACATATCCTGCTGTTGACTTTCGATCTTCAGCATCACTACACCAACTCGAATCAGTGTATCCCACTAACTTGCATTCTTTTCCTTTATCAACTGCAGGAAACAGAATGCCATAATCGAAAGTTCCTTTGAGATACCTTAGTATCCTCTTCACAGCTGCTAGATGTGATACCTTTGGCTTCTGCATGAATCTACTTACCATACCTACACTGTATGCTAAGTCAGGCCTTGTATGACAAAGGTATCTCAATGATCCAATAAGTCTTCTGTATTGGGTTGGATCAACATCATCTTCATCTGCATCTTTCGACAGTTGTAGTCTTGGTTCTACAGGTGTCGAAGTTGAGTTGCATTCTTCCATCTCAAACCTCTTGAGAATTTCCCCTGCATATCTTCTTTGATGCATCATCAAACCTCTACTGCTTTTGTAGAATTCGATACCAAGGAAATATGAAATCTCACCCAAATCAGACATTTCGAATTCCTTGCTAAGATCAACTTTGAAGTCTTCGATCTCACTCTTGCAGCTACCTGTTATCAACAAATCATCTACATAGAGACATAGTATAAGCAATTTACTCTTGCTTCTTCTTACATATACTCCATGTTCAGTTATGCACTTCACAAATTCCTTCTCCCTTAGAAAACTATCAATTTTCTTATTCCAAGCCCTTGGAGCTTGTTTCAAACCATACAGGGCTTTATGTAGCCTGTACACCTTTCTTTCTTCGTCATGTTTCACAAACCCAACTGGTTGTTTAACATAAACTTCTTCATCTAAGGGTCCATTTAGGAATGCACACTTCACGTCCATCTGACATATGTGCCAACTGTTGATTTCTGCTAGACCAACAACCAACCTGATTGTTTCGATCCTAGCAACAGGTGCAAAAACTTCGTCGAAGTCTATTCCTTCTTTCTGTAGAAATCCTTTCGCCACAAGTCTTGCTTTGTGTCGAGTTACTTCACCTTTCGAATTAGTCTTCACTTTGTATACCCACTTGACATCAATTGCCTTTTTGCCTTGAGGCAATTCAACAAGTGACCAAGTGTTGTTGTCTTCGATAGACTTTACTTCTTCGTTCATTGCTTTCACCCACTTCGAATCCTTTAATGCTTCAGCTGCATTAACAGATTCGACATCTGCATAGAAAGCATAATGTACCAGCTCACCTTCATCATCTATTACATCATCTGATGTAATCACACAATCTTGCAATCTTGCAGGCATGCGTCTTGTTCTTTGAGGTCTGCTTGTACTGGGTATATCTGCTGGCTCCTCTTGTCGAACTTCTCTTTCGACTTGAGTTTCTGGCTCTTCGAATAAGATTCCCACTGAATCTTTCTTGACATTTGCAGTCCAATCCCATTCTTTGAACTCATCTATGATCACGTCCCTGCTGATCACAATCTTCTTGTTCTCTGGATCGAACAACTTGTAGCCTCCTGTCGAATGATATCCAACTAGGATCATTTGACTTGACTTGTCATCAAGTTTCTTTCTCAACTGATCTGGCACATGTCTATGTGCAATAGATCCAAATACTTTCAGATGACTTAAGCTAGGCTTCACACCAGACCAACATTCTTCTGGAGTAATTCCTTCTAGCTTCTTTGTAGGACTTCTGTTCAAAATGTATGTTGCAGTCGAAACAGCTTCACCCCAGAACTCTTTGGGTAAATTCTTGCCTTTCAACATACTTCTCACCATGTTCATGATGGTTCGATTTTTCCTTTCTGCAATTCCATTTTGCTGTGGAGTATAGGGTGGCACCACCTCATGCACAATCCCTTCTTTTTCACATAATCTGTCGAAATCTTTCGACACATATTCTCCTCCACCATCAGTTCTCAAAACTTTGAGCTTTCGACCACTTTGTCTTTCGACCATGGACTTGAACTTGATGAATACTTCGAACACTTCACTTTTCTGCTTGATCAGGTAAGTCCATAGCTTTCGACTGAAATCATCTATGAATGTAACAAAGTATTTGTTACCTCCCATCGAATCCACCTGAATTGGTCCACATACATCAGAGTATATGACTTCGAGATTAGCCTTCGATTTGCTTCCTGCATCCTTGCTGAAGCTGTTCTTGTGTTGCTTCGCCTGCACACATTCTTCACATACTTCGTTTGGAATGTCAATTTCAGGCAATCCTGAAACCATATTTCTTCTCTTCAAATCTCTGATGTCTCTGAAGTTGAGATGACCAAGTCTATAATGCCATATCCATTCATCTCTGCTAGCTGCAGTCGAAAAGCACTTGTGCTCCATCACATTTAGTTCAATCTTGAAGGTTCGATTCTGAGACATAGGAGCCTTCAAGATTAATCTCACATTTGCATCAACGACTCTCATCAAATTATCTTCGATTGACACTTTATAATTCTTTTCGACCAACTGCCCTATACTGAGCAAATTGCTCTTCATGCCTGGTATGTACAATACATTCGAAATTACTGACTTCTTGCCATCTTTCCTCATGATCATAACATCACCAATACCTTCAGCTGCTAGGGTGTTGTCATTCGCAAATTTTACCAAATTTTTCGTTGAGGGTTTTATGTTGACGAACCAGTCTTTCCTTCCAGACATATGTGATGAACATCCTGAATCCAAGTACCATTGGTCCTTGAATCTATCTTCATCTCTTGTTGTGACCATCAACATCATCTCTTCTTCTTCTTCATGTTTTGCCAGCTTTGCATCACTTTCTTGATTCTTTCGTTTTTCTGGACAATCACTCGAATAGTGACCATACTTCTGACAATTATAACATTGAATGTGACTCTTATCAGGTTTTCGACCACCACCTCTTCCTCTGTTTGCAGCACCACCTCTTTGGTTGCCTTGGTGTGGTCTTCTTTGATTCGACACGTCTCCTTCGATTTGGTTTCCTCTGCCATTCGATTTGTTGTAGCCAGCTCTACTTCTGTCGAAATACTTTCCTTTGCCTTTGGTCTCTTTTGCTGAATGTGCCTGCAAGGCCACATCACTCTTCGATTTTCCTGCAGCTCTTTCGTTCATTCTTTGTTCATGAGATTCGAGCGTCCCTTGAAGCTCTTCTTTTGTCAATTTCGACAAGTCTTTCCCCTCTTCGATCGCCACCACTATGTGGTCGAACTTAGGAGCTAAGGATCTCAAGATCTTCGAAACAACAGCTCTTGTTGTTAATGTTTCTCCACATGTCTTGATTTGATTCACTAGTTTTGTAACTCTAGTGAAGAAATCAGATATGTTTTCACTGTCTTCCATCTGAAGCAGTTCATAGGTCCTTTTGTGAGTTTGTAACCTCACTTCTTTCACCTTCTCAGCGCCTCCAAAAGATTTCTCCAGGATCTCCCAAGCTTCTTTTGCAGATTCTGAATCACTAATCTTTTCGAAGTTGTCTGGGATGACACATTGATGAATTATAAACAATGCTTTATAACTCTGCTTCTCAGATTCTGTATATTTCTTCTTTTCTTCTTCTGAAGCGTTTTCGCCAAGCGCTTCGACTCCATCTTTTACAAGGTCCCAAAGGCCTTGACACCTTAATAGGACTTTCATCTGCTTGCACCAATTCTCATAGTTGTCAACTTTCAGAATTGGCAGCGTTGCTGGATAGTTTGCATTCCCATAACTTGTCATCATGAATTCTTCAATCGTTCTTGATTGATATTTCCCTTGAATCGAAACACAAGCTCTTGATACCAGATGTTGGAAATCCACCAATACTCTATGATGAATTTCGACGACCACTGATGATAAGTTATGAAACAAATAAATAAAATAACAATGGAGATATTTCTGCAGAGTTTCTCTCTGCCCACAAACTGTGGAAACTTTATTAATTCACTTTGCAACTGCAAAATACTGTGAATGAGTTCAATGACTTGAATTACAAAATAAGGGTTACTCCCTCTTATTTATAGATTTAGGTTAGCTTGCTCCCTAAGCTAAACCCAAGCCCAAAATATCTCTTTACTAAATCAAATCTAATCTAGATTTAAATTCAAATCTATTTAAATCTAAACAAATCAAATCTTCTTTTGACACCTATGAATTACAATTTAACAGTTTATGAACAGTTGACAGAATTGAAGCAAGAAGGAACGGTTGAGGAATATATCACGGAGTTTGAATACCTAACGTCTCAGATAGCGAAGCTACCAGAGAAACAATTTCGTGGGTATTTCTTACATGGGTTGAAGGAAGAGATTAGGGGGAAGGCACGTAGCTTGGTGGCAATGGGGGAAATGAGCAGAACAAAATTGCTTCAAGTCACAAGAGTTGTGGAGAGAGAGGTGAAAGGGGGAAACAACTTTCATCGTGGGTCTAGATTTAGTTATAACCCATCTCATAATGGGTCAATAGGAAGGAAAGCCACATCTGACTGGATCATGATACAGAGGAGAGATGTTGGGCTGCATGGGGGTGTCAAGAGTGGAGTAAGTGGGTGCAAAGGAGACAAACATGCCCAAAACGAAAAGAAACATATTGGGCCTCGTGATAGGGATTTCAAGCATTTGTCTTACAATGAATTGATGGAAAGGAAGCAAAAGGGGTTATGTTTTAAGTGTGGAGGCCCATTCCATCCTATGCACCAATGCCCGGAAAAACAACTTAGAGATTTGGTTGTGGAGGAGGGTGGAGATGATGTGGATGAGACTAAATTCTTGGCTATAGAGGTGGATAAAAGTGATGAAGAGGATAAGGGGGAGATGAGTGTACTTAACTTGCATCACATTGCACATAAGACTCATCATACTATGAAATTCCAAGGAACAATACAAGGAGTAGAGGTATTGATTTTGGTGGATAGTGGGACAACACATAATTTCATTTTGCAAAAGTTAGTGCATCAAATGGACTGGCCAATTGACACTACTGTTGTACCTTAATTTTTGCCCCTAAGATTCCTTCATCATACCACATTGTTTCAATCACAATAAGATCACATTAGGGTTTTTGGTTCTTCTCCCTATCTTTAGCCTTGCTCTTTTGAGGAATTACCAAGCACCTTGACTTGTTTTCTTTTGTGATCATGGATATTTTGCTTTGATTTTCTCTCTAATTAACAAAATTCAATATTGGTTTGTCTTACTTGTTAATAATGTAGGTAAAGGCAATAAGGTTTAGCAAGTGGCTTCATGGGTTCATGATTTTATTTCCATGCCCTAGTCAATAGCTTGAGAAATTCAAAGCTCACCATTGAAGTTGTTTTGGAAGAATTGGTATGGAAGTGGTTTTTGGTGGCCATGAGTCCTCATCATCATCCTCAACAATTTATATTCATAAAGGAAGAACATTGGCACAAAAAGTTTGTTCAAACTTGGCAAAGTTCCTCAAAGCACTCTCTTGATCTAGAGGCTAGGGTTTTTGGACTTCAAAGGAGCATATCTTGCTCATCTTTTGGTATTTTTGAGTGATTCCAAAAACATACTTCTCTTCAAAGAGTTGCCAACAAATCACTTCAAAAGTTCCAAGGAGTTTTCATGTGGAAGGAACTTGGTGAAGAAGAAAGATTGCAAGTCACCTAGATGAATCCTCAATTTTCCATATGTGACTTCAAGTGGTCATAACTTGGTCATTTTTTTATCACCTTGAACCCATTCTTTTGTCATGATGATCTTAAGGATGTGTACTTCATGCCTTATTTTATGTGCAAAGTAAGAAAATGGATGGAAGTTGCCTTAAGAATGCAAAAGATTATAGGTCATTTCATGATTTTTGGTCAACTTCAACAAGTCATAACTTGCTCAATTTTTGGATATTTTGAATGGTTTAAATTGAAAGATGTCATTCAAGAGGTCTACTTCATTCCGTCTTTTTTGGTCAAGAGCAAATTCTAAGTGGAAGGCCATGTTTGGATGCAAAGGATTATAGGTCATTTTTAAAGAATAATTTGAAATATTTCTAAGTATGGAAAGTCAACTCTTCTTCTTCAACTTTGACTCCATGTAACTTTTAGCACAAGCATCCATTTGATTCCATTCTTTTTCCATTGCAAATCTTGTAACCTCATCTTTTCAAACCATCAAAAATTATGCCCTAAGACCCCTTGAGGTGGAAATGCCATGGATTTGAATTTGGTAGTTTGAAACTGAATTTTGCACAAAGTCAGAATTTTGAAATCTTTGTTTTGGCTTCTAATCACAAGATTTCCACGCATTTTTGTTTCTAATCATGTTTAGCAACTTTCCAGAAGTAATTAGCATCATGAAATGCACGATTTGGCTGAGTTTTGATCAAGTTTGAGTCACACTTTCTTCATGATGCAAACCCACACGAATTCCCTCCAAAACGCATCATTTTCTATTCCTTTTGATCCCATTTGCTTCCCTATAAATAGAGGGTCATCCCCCATTCAATTTCCCAAGCTTAGATAGCCAGAACCACCCTGCCAAACTTGCTTCACAACCCAGAATTCAGCAACTTCGAATTCTATTCTCAAGCCTTTTTCAATCCATTTTTCCCTCAATTCACCTTCCTTGATCTTCCCTGAAGCTAACCATATAATTACATTCAAGAATCGTGCCCTATATTGCTCCATAGAAGTCCAGTTTCAGAGCTCTGCAACTTAACTTCAATAGGTAGATTCCTTCATTAATTCTTCAAAACTTTGATATCACTGTGATGCTCTCATTGCCCTGGTTCTAGTCGCAACACTTACTTTCATCTGGAAACTCGTTTTGGCCATGAATTTTCAAATCCCTTTTCAAAACTTTCTTTCCAAATTGCTTGAACTACAGTTTATATAAATTTGGCGCGAGGGTGTGGTTGTCTTCGTCTTGAAGAGACGAAGCGAATGGCATAGGTCTAAGCTTCTGATTTTACAATTTGAGAGACCTGCAATTCGTGATGGCTGGAGGTTGAAGATGACCAACGTGTCATCTTCTAACCAATGAAGGCGCGCCATCTGTATTTTTCAAATTCTGATTTTATTATTGATTCTGTACATTATTCATTAAAGACCATGATATGCACAGCGCGTCAGATCCCTTGGATTTGATTACTAACGCGTTTTAACTCTCATCCAATGATCCACATCTTTTACTTTTATTTTCTTTTTCTGATTTTTATATTTTAATTGCTTTAAATTTCAAAAAATCATAGAAAATTCATTTTTAGTCCAAAAAATCTGAAAAAATTATGAAAAGTATTTTTGATTATTCTCTTTCTGTTTTTTATTTTTTCACAATTTAATTTTGTGTTTTGGTGTTTTTTTATAAATTTTACACTTATTTAATTTGTTTAAAATGTTTAAAAATACTTTTATACATTTTTAAATTCTAAAAAAATTATGAAGTGATCCAATGATATTGTGACAAATATTGGTGATCTTATTTTATTTTTGTTTCTGACTTTACTATTTTTTACTATTTTTGTTTATTTTACCCATTTATTTTAATTTTAAAAAATAGTTTCTGACTTTTAAAAATTCCCAAAAATTTTGTAATATTACTTGGCCTCTTTTCTGATTTTTCTATGGTTTTATTTTTTATTTCTTGATTAATTTGAATATGATTGACATTTCCTCATTATTTTCCACTTTTTTAATAACATTTTTAAACCTTTTAATGTATATATTAATTGTATTATTATTTTGTGATTATTTTCTGGTTGTCTTGGGTTGATTTTTTGATCATGGCTTTATTAACATCATTAGATCCATGGTGTTGAGTTTAACTCCACAAAAAATGGATGAATGATTTTAATAATAGTTTGATTAAATATTAATTCAAATGTGGTTTCTCTTTTTACCCTAATTCCTCTTCATCTCATCCCCTTCTCATTGCACTAAATGTTGTTGGAGCATGATCTCTATATCAAGTCTCAAAATAAATGGTGCATAGATTGCTATTGACCAACCTCAAAATAGGTGCGACTTCTATATAAGTCCACTTACGATTGCTTAACATAGCGCTAAATTTTGTCCCGATTCGAATAAATGATCATTCGTAGCCCAAACTTATGATTGTAAGCCCAAGTATGTTAATTTGATCTCTTTGATCCAATAACCTTGAGATTCATTATGTGGAGGCTTTGGTTCTACCAATCCTCTAATGGATCTACAACACTTTTGGTCAATGCGGATCACTTAAACATCGTTAATCATTAAATGGTACTCATGAGAATTCCAAATGGATGATATACTTGACAAAAAGCAAATGTAACTTGTTGTGTGGAGGCTTTGGTTCTACCAATCCTCTAATGAGTTCCAAATGCAAGTTTCAAGATGGCCATCCAACTAATCACTAATTATTGACTTGTTTATTTTATGCTTTTATTCTTTTATGCTTTATGTACTATTTATCTTTTAGCATTTTTCATTTCATGCCATTTTCATCTTTGCTCATTTGAGCATTTATTTTCTTACCATTTTTACTTTGCTCACTTGAGCTTTTCTCTTCCTTTCTTAAGATACTTAATAATCAACATAAACCCTAAAAAATCTTTAATGATACTTGGACTATTTGGTTACTATCCTTGGCATTATGGAGCATGGGACTTTTTCTTAGACTTAGGATTAGAAACCTTGGCCTATCTTGGAGACCTTGTGATCTTATCTGATTATTTTGTCTGGAGTTATTGAGGTTTACCTCAAGACATTGGGTTGCTTGTTTGTTTTTGTGTGCAGGTTTTTGTGATTACATTCTCTGTTTGTAATTTGGAGTTCACCCGCATACAACCGTTACTCTGTCCAATTTTTTTGAAGACTTAATACACTTGAAGTTTGGTTCTCTCAAGAGGTCTAGTATCTTTGCTTGCTTGGTTTCAATCCAAAGAATGGGATTTATATCTTGACTCATAATGTCAAGTTTCGGCTTCTTGTTGGTTAGATGGTTCTTATCTTTAGCTTTTGCTTTATGCTTTAGGATGGTCTCTTCTTCTCCTCCCATCTTCTTAAATTTTAAAAATCTTCTCCCTTATTTTGAAAACTCTTCTTGTTTCTAAACTTAAACCACTTTCATAATAAACTTGGACTTAGATCCATGAATTTTCAAAAACCTTTTCATAAATAAACTCCAATCAATTTAATAATACCTTGACATTTTTTGTGAGAAGACTAAAAGTCAACCAATCTCATTTCAAACCATTTTGCCACTTTAGCTTTTTTATCTTTAAATTTTTCTTAAAATATTGGACTCTTGTCAATCCTTGTAGTGATGCAACAACTATACTTCTACAATATGTAGTGAAGTGAGATATTTTCCACTTGGGTGTTGAGTGAGGCATTGTTGATTTTAAAATCCAAGTCATATCCTCCACTTTGAGATGATGCAAATTCTCCTTTCTCATGATTGTGGGTAGTAAGTATGTTTTCCACACGTACAATGACGATGATGTCTTATCTCTTAAAATCAACCAACACACTTGTGTTTCAAACTTTTAAAAGAGGAACTACGTGTACCCTGATCCCCTATTGCACGAAAGGTGGTACGTAGGCACTAATGGTTCGCAACCGCGGCGGGTGCAAAATCATAAAAATATATTTCTTTTCTCACCTCCACCTTCCATTTTATATACAACATATTTTATAGCCAAAATATACATATTTTTCAAAGAGGTTCCTGCAGAGTACCGTAGATGTTTAGGGTGCTAATACCTCCCCTTTGCATAACCAACCCCCTTAGCTTGAATCTTTCCCCCTTTTTTGGGTTATTCGCTCTTTTCCCATTCCTTTGGAAACAATAAAGCGCGGTGGCGATTTTTATTTTTTTGATTTATATAAAGTCTAGTCAATCCAATGGCTTAGTCTTGAAACATTTCTACCGCTACAACTACCCCTCAAATGACAGTCAAATTGGAGAATGGGCTACAAATAACAACATATGGTGTGTGTAAAGGAATGGAGTGTGTATTGATGAGTTTAAATTAGACCCAGAAATGCATTTATTTGAATTAGGAGGAATTAATGTGGTTTTAGGCATTGAGTGGCTTAAAACATTGGGGGATACTATTACTAATTGGAAAAAACAAACTATAAGTTTTTGGAGTGAGAAGAAATGGGTGACTCTTAAAGGACAGGAAGGGTGCATAAAGCCTACAGTAGCTTTTCAAAATGTACTCAGCAAGCCCATGCCTAATATGCAAGATTTATTATGGATAATAGAGAGGAAAAAAACCCAAAGAGGCTGAAAAAGATACTTTGTCTGTCCAACAACAAAGGGAGTTAGAAGCAGTATTACGCAAATATGATCAAGTGTTCCAAACCGTGCTAGGTCTTCCTCCGACAAGAAACAATGATCATGCGATCAACCTTGTGGAAGGACAAGGAGCCATAAACGTGAGGCCGTATCGTTATCCCCACCATCACAAGAATGAAATAGAGAAGCAGGTAAAAGAGATGTTGGACACGGGGATCATTCGCCACAATACGAGTTCGTTCTCAAGTCCGGTGATTTTGGTGAAGAAGAAGGACGGCACATGGCGAATGTGTATTGATTATCGCGCTCTAAATAAGATCACGATACCTAACAAATTTCCTATACCAGTGATCGAATAGTTATTGGATGAGTTGCATGGAGCGACATTCTTTTCGAAATTAGATTTGAAATCGGGATACCATCAAGTGAGGGTGAAGGAATATGATGTGAACAAAACAACTTTCAAAACACATGAAGGGCATTATAAGTTCCTTGTGATATCGTTCGAACTCATGAATGCTCCATCAACATTCCAAAGCCTAATGAATGATGTGTTTCGTTCTCTGTTAAGGAAACATGTGTTGGTCTTCTTTGATGACATCCTTATCTATAGCAAGAGCTGGGAGACTCATTTGAAGCATTTAGAAGAAGTGTTGAGTTTGTTAGCTAATCACAGCCTAGTAGCTAACAAGAAGAAATGTTTTTTTCCCCAGCAAAGTGTGGAGTATTTGGGGCATATAATTACTGAGCACGGTGTAGCCGTAGATCCTGGAAAAGTGGAAAGTGTGACTCAATGGCCACAGCCTAAGAATGTAAAAGGGGTGAAAGGGTTCTTAGTACTTACAGGATATTACAGGAAGTTTATAAAGGATTATGGGAAAATTGCTAGACCATTAACTGAGTTGACCAAGAAGGACAGTTTCAAATGGGGAGTGGAAGCTCAACAAGCCTTTGATGATTTGAAAGGGAGGCTTACATCAGCACCTGTGCTAGCTTTACCAGATTTTTCAAAGAGTTTTCTGATTGAGTGTGATGCTTCAGGAGGAGGAATAGGGGCGATATTGATGCAAGATAAGAAACCAGTAGCATACTACAGCAAGGCCCTTGGTGTGAAGAATTTAGCTAAATCTGCCTATGAAAAAGAATTGATGGCAGTAGTTTTAGCAATCCAGCATTGGAGACCATACTTATTGGGGAGGAAATTTGTAGTCTCAATTGATCAGAAAAGCCTTAAACAACTACTGCAACAGAGAATTGTAATTGTAGAGCAGCAGAATTGGACTGCTAAATTATTGGGTTATGATTTTGAGATTATGTACAAACAGGGTAAATTAAACAATGAAGCCGATGCTTTATCCAGAATTCATGAGGGAGGGGAGTTAGCTACCATGAATTACCAATGGAGATGGCTGCAAGAGGAACAGATTAAAAAAGAAAACCAATAGGATGAAAGGCTGCAGAAAATAATAGAAGGGGTTCAACAAAATGCAGAAACATGGCCTGGTTACAAGTACAAGCAAGGTGTCTTGATTTATGAAGGTAGGTTGGTGATTTCCAACAAGTCTTTTCTAATTCCTACATTGTTAGATGAATTCCACTCAACACCCCAAGGAGGACATTCTGGGTTCTACAAAACTTATATAAGAATTACGGCTAATGTGTATTGGATAGGCATGAAAGGAACCATACAAGACTTTGTAAGAAGGTGCGACATTTGCCAAAGACAGAAGTACATGGCTTCATCTCCATGAGTTTTGTTACAACCTTTACCCATTCCTCATACTCATCAAATTTGGGATGATATATCGATTGACTTCATCACCGGGTTTCCAAAATCAAAGGGTTTCAAAGCTATTTTAGTGGTGGTGGACAGACTGTCCAAGTACTCTCATTTTATTCCTATGTGACATCCATATATGGCTAGGAGTATTTCTGAAGTATTTTATAAGGAGATAGTCAAACTCCATGGCATTCCTCTGTCCATAGTAAGCGATAGGGATCCCATTTTTATGAGCAGTTTTTGGAGGGAGATGTTCAAACTGCAGGAAACTAAGCTGAAAATGAGTACCATATATCACCCCGAATCGGATGGGCAGACAGAAGTGGTTAATAGGTGTTTGGAAACCTATTTGAGGTGCTTCATTACGGACCAACCTAGGACATGGGTATCATGGATACACTGGGCTGAATATTGGTTCAATACAACTTTTCATGCTGCCACCGAGAAGACACCATTTGAGGTAGTTTATGGAAGGCCACCTCCAAAACTAATTCAATGGACTCAAGGAGAGACTAGAGTTGAGGTTGTGCAGAGATAATTATTGGACAAAGATGAGGATTTGAGACAATTGAGGAACCAATTGTTGAGAGCACAAGAGAAGATGAAGAGTCAAGCTGATAAGAAACGCACGGACAAGAGTTTTGTATGTGGAGAATGTGTGTCTGTCAAGCTTAAGGCTCATAGGCAGCAATCGGTAGTGACCAGAATTAGTGCAAAATTAGCAGCAAGATACTACGGTCCTTATCCCATTATTAAGAAGATAGGAGTAGTGGCATACAGACTGAAGCTACCCGAGGGGTCTAGAGTGCATCCTGTTTTTCATGTTTCATTATTGAAGAAAGCTGTGGGGCGTTATCACGAAGAGGATGAGTTATCCGAGTTATTGGAGGAACAGATTGAAGTCTATGAACCATAGGCGGTACTAGCCACTAGAAAGGTGAAAAAACAAGATGAAGAAATAAGGAAAATCCTCGTACATTGGAAGGGCAAGACAACAGAAGAAGCAACTTGGGAAGATGAGATAATGATCAGAAGCCAATTTCCAAAGTTTGGCCTTGAGGACAAGGACATTGCGAAAGGATAGGGTACTGATAGGACTCAGTTAGTTGAGAAAGAATTGCCACGTGAGCAGCTGATTTACAAGGAATCAAGTAAACCCCAAGAGTGGAAAGTGTATTCTAGAAGGAATAGTAAGAAGGGAATTGGTGGCTAGTTAGTTACAATATTGTGACATGGCTTAAGTAAGGATAACACCTTGCATTCCATTTCCACGATATAAGGAATCAGAGAGAGAATGTAGATCTCACCTTGGATTATAGTGATTTACTAGCATGTATAAGAAGCTATAGCTTCCTATTAGGAGCCTAGCTCTTGTCAGATCTAGGGTTACATTCCCCTTTTCTGTAACTGTTTCCATTCATATTCACTATAATAAAGCTCTCTTTTCCTCTGTTGTTTGCCTGTACTGTTATATTACTGCATTCTGAGTTTTGGTCCGGAACATTTTGATACTTTTGGAATCAAACATAAGTCATGTAATTTACCTCTGTAAAGCTAGCGGAGTTTCTCCATAGGGCTTGAACTTAGTTGAACACATTTAGACCTACAATGCTCCAAGGTTTTTGGTAAAATCCAGATGGGAATCCATCCGGGCCTGGAGATTTCCAAGGAACCTTCTTTCTCTCTTATGACTTCAAATTTTCATTCAGCTGCTCCACCATGTTACCCTCAATGTTGGGAAATTTGATCTTGGTTTGGTACCATTCTTCAACCTCCACGTCAATTGTATGAAGTTGTTGATACCGATCTTTGAAAATATTTTTGATAAGCTCGGGATCTTCAGTTAAATCTCTATTACTTGTCTTGATCATGTTGATGTTCTTCCTTCTTTTAAGCACCACATTTACATGATAGAACCTAGTATTCATGTCGCCACATGATAACCAGTTCATCTTGGATGCTCTTTGCAAGAACTTGTTGAAGGTATTTCTCTAACTTTCCAAGCCCCGCGTGAACTTTACCATCTTGAATATTGATCTAACCTGATCAGACTTGGACCGTCACGGCTGGCTCCGAGCTGAAAGTTTTGAACGAGGTGGGGGGGGGGGGGGGTACCTGCAAGACACTCCGATGCTGAAGTAAGTAGAAGCACGAGCAGGCAATATTAAGTATGGGTAGAATGATGAATACCTGACCCTCTGGAAACAGAGGGTATTTATAGCCCCCAGCGCTGGGCCAAGGTTCCTCCCTTGGGTCGGGCAGGTTTGGCCCAATGGAGGAACTGCCAGGTTCTACGTGTGTAGTGGGGACCCGCACGTAGTCCCCTTCCTGGATGTTCTGCGTGAAGTGCGGGCGGACAGAGACGCGGTCTTTTCGGGGTCTCGTTGGGAGTGCAGTGGACTGAGTCTGCCCTAGTTGGGGTGCTCGAGGTAATGTCGAGCTGGACGGCAGGATGTCGAGCTGGAGATGTAGAGGTCGAGCAAGTAACCTCAGGGAGCACGTCGGGCACGACTGTGACCCTTTGGTCGGCGTGGTCCTCAGCAAGTCCATTTGGATTGGGCCTTAGCAATGCTATTGGGCCTGTCGGGCCCAGTCCAGAACAGGAGCCCCCCAAGTCGTGGTTCCTTTGTTAGGAGCCATGGCTTGATCTCAGGTCGTTTCCGCTTCGGGGTCTCGCGCCCGAGTCAGAGATGCAGGTCCTCGAGGGCCTCTCTGTGTCGTGCTCGGAGACAAATCTTTCGAGGTGGATGCTCGGGGGATCCTCACCGGCACGTGTCTGTCGAGCACACGAGGTATCTTTCGGGAACTGTGCCGCCACCCTATAATGATAGGGTCATCATTGCATTGGGAGCAGTGCGTCGAGGAGAGAAACTCCGTGGTTGCCCGAGGTGACGTTTGGTATTCCACGTCACCACTATAAATAGGATCCTTGGGCCCCATAACTCGTTTCTACTCTTTGCGCTCCTACTGCTGCTGTTCTTCCAGATTTTTCATAGCTGCGATCTCCGTTACAGATTCTTTTCCTCCGTAGCCGAATCCACTTCTTGATTCCAAGTAAGTGACTTATCTTCTTTATTTTCCTGTTGTAATGCATGATTTTCCACGTTGTAGACATTTTTAGGGACTGTGCGTGTGGGACTAGCCCGGTAAACTCATGTTTAGCTCGGCATATTCATGCTTAGGACCGGAAAACACATGCTCGTGGCCGGTAGATACATAGTTTAGGTAATAATCTGCAGCGCTGCCCGGGGTCTTCATGATCCAGGGCGCCTGATTCATGATCGTGCCCGGTATGTTCATGGTTCTGGCCGTAGGTTGCATGATGTTGCTCGCCATGTTCATACCTTGGGTCGGCATGTTGGAGAGTGGCCGTGTTGTCGGTTTGCTCAGGCGGTTTGGAGAAGGGCCCATCGAGTTATCTGGACGTCGGGGAGGCGACTGCTTTCTTGTTGCAAACTAACTTTTGTGGTCGTGCATGGAACAACGTGGTTTGTCGTACACTACATCTGGTCCGCTACGTCGAGCGTATGGTTTCGTGCCCAATTGACTGGTTTCCCGTACTCTGCAGGTAACCATGGCGGACGAGCCGTGCTCCTCTGGACGCCCCGAACAGGAGGAACAAAGTGCCGATGAGGCAGTGAGTTTGATCGATACTGTCGACGACCCTCTGTTGGATTGGGTGGGCGCCGAGCCCCGAGGAATCGCGTCGATATATAGCCGGCGTGACCGAAAACCATATGGTGTCCTTGAGGCGGGCCACGGTCAGCCTGATTTTCAAAAGAATTTTGTTGTTACGCGACCGACCTCCAATGCCCGGATCTGCTCGGTGTACCCCGAGTATAGTTTCCCAATGTACGAGATCGCGTTCAAAGATCTTGGGCTGCAGCTGCCCTTTAGTGACTTTCAGACCGGGGTCTTCGCCCATCTGGGGCTGGCCCCGTCGCAGCTACACCCGAACTCACTCGCCTTTATCCGGGCGTTTGAGCTGACATGTCGCTTTCTGAGGATTGGGGCGACGATACCTCTCTTCTTCAGAATTTTTCATCTGCAGCGCCAGTCCCGAGGAGGGAAGCACAGCTGGGTCTCCTTAAAACAGTCGAGGAGACTATTCAAAATGTACATGGACTCCGTAAGGGGTTTTAAAGACAAGTGGTATGTCGTGAGGCCAGTTACCACGTCTGCTTTAGAATCCCTGTACGAGGAGGAGACGCCCATAAGCGACGATGACGGGGAGGCGGTTTTAGACAACGATGGGTATCCCGTGATGGCCCACACAGCCAAGTTCCCTGTGCATTGGATGTTCAGGCATTACGAGCACGAGACTGGATACTATCATACCGCTGCAGGCGACATGTGTTTGGAGGATGAGAAGGCGTACGCCACTCTTTGTCGGTTCGTCGACAACTTCCACCCCGCCCGGTGGGCAACGAGGGAGGGGGAAGATGTCTTGGATGAAGAGGGTTATCCGACATTTGAGTCTCGGCCGATTGATACTAAGGCACTAGTGGAGTGTCAGTCGTTCAGACAGGCTGCTCGTCTGCTAGGTCGTTTGTTGCTTGAATTTCTTTGCTCGTCATTTATTTATGAACTTGCTCGACACTAACCCGTCTTTTATTTTGTGCAGGTTCGATGGCCAGGCGACGGGAAAGACTCCTGAAGCTATCTTGCGACCAGAAATGGGGTAGGAGGGTCGTGAAGGCTCCCCAGGCAACGAGGATGGGCCTGCCACATAGTCCGGGTTCTCCTCAGGTGGTGAGGGTGGATTCGTCGCCCAGCTCGGGGGCCGCGTCGGACGAGATCCCAAAGGTTCAAGAGGTCGACCCAAATGCCGACCTGATACAAAGAAAGAGGACCCGGGTGGAAAGCGGTCCGACGGTCAGCGAGGACACCAGCGCCGTCAGGTCTTTCAGGTTCCCCCCTTGCTTTAAAGAGGAGGGCTTCTTCGAGAGGTTCCCTCTGTCCGTGGTTGCCTACGAGGCTGAGACTATCAAGAGGATGAGTAAGGAGGATCGGAAGAGGCACCTGGCCGCCAGCATGGCCGGGCTGGTGAAAATGGCCGAAATGGCCCTGGTGCTGTCCGAGGAAGGGGGGGATCCTATCCGTATTGAGGAACTTGAGCAGGAGAAAGCGGCTCTCACCTCGAGCTCGCGGAAGTTAAGGACTGCCCTGGAACGCTCCGAGGAGATGTTCCGCGAGCAGGCATCGCTGCTGGCTTCCGAGAGAGATGCTGGTCCTGGAGAAAGAAAATTTGGGGAAGCTAGCTGAGAAGGGAGAGCTTCTCCGTGCAGACAGGGGTCGTCTGGAGACCGACATCGGGCGCTTGACCCAACAGATCGAGGACATGAAAGTCGCCATGCTTCCTGCCGAGGACGAGCCGGAGGACATAGCGGCTTTGAAGAGTCGATCGGAGCTGGTCGCCCATATCCGGCTACTCGAGGCAGATTGCGTCGGTGCTCTGGAGGAGGGGTTCGACTCTGCAGTCGGCCAGCTTTCCTTGTTAAACCCTGGTTTGGTCACTGAGGGGACGGGCTACACACATCAGATAATGGATGGCGCGATCGTGCCCCCGCCCGACTCTCCAGTTGTCGACGCTGATGGTTCCGGGGAAGCCTGATCGTAGGATAGCGGGCCTGCGTGCCTTTGATATTTGTATTTTTTTTGGGCCTGCGTGCCCGTTGGTTGTACTTTATGAACATCGCCGGCCTTCTTGGTCGGTTTATACTTGTTTGCCTTGTTGCCTTCGGGCATTTTTTTGAATGAATGCTGTTTTACATTTGATCGTTTGCCCGTGCTTGAAATCTTATATATTTGCATAAAATTTAGCCTAAGTTATGGGCCCGAGGAGTGCCCGTAAGTGGCTGTGATTTAACGGGCGAGTCTGCCTGTCTTTCGTTTGTATACGTGCCCGGCCTTCTTTCGCTGGCCAGAGTCACCTAAGTGTTGCACTCGAGGGGAGAGACTTCCCTTTGACCCTTTTAGATGGTCCGTCATTCTTGACGACTTATCGGGCATATGAAGCGAAGTTGCTCAGTCGGGCGCGAAGCCCAGTAGGGACTATTCGCCCTTGGCGTGAACTGCCCATCGCGAGCTGGGTGTTATGCCTTACAGGTACTACGACGGTGGTGCTCGGTGTAGTTGTCCATGTCGGGCACTATCGATCGGTCTCGTTTGTTGAGCGATGTTGTGCGATTTAGCCATATGTCGGGCTTGTACCTCAGCCTCTATACGGAGTCAGACGTTTTTCCTCGTCGACTGGGCGCGGGTGCCGATGGTCGAGGGTCCTAGGTGTTGGTAGTTTTTAACTATAGTACTGCTTTAGCTTAGCAACGTTCCAGGGTCGTGGTAATGGCTCTCCGTCTAATTGCTCGAGATAGTACGCCCCGGTACCAGTGGTGCCGTGGACGCGATAAGGTCCTTCCCAGTTCGTGGCCAGCTTCCCTTCGCGGGAATCCTTCTGGTTCCTACGTAATACCAGGCTTCTGATTTCGAACTCGCGCTTGATGACCTTGTCGTTGTGGCGTAGAGCCACTCGTTGTTTTAGGGTGGCTTCGCGCAGGGCTGCACCCGATCGGATTTCCTCGACTAGGTCGAGTTCGTCCCTTAGCGCCTCGTCGTTCATTTCTTTGTCGAGGGGGTTCTCTGTTCGTCTGGAAGGTTCCATGATTTCAACTGGGATAACGGCCTCAGTGCCATACGTCAACCGAAATGGGGTCTCGCCCGTCGTTGAGTGGGGCGTGGTTCGGTATGCCCACAAGACGCTGTGGAGCTCCTCGACCCATCCCCTCTTGGCTTCGCCGAGTCGACGTTTGAGTCCTCGGAGGATGACTCTGTTCGCGGCTTCGGCTTGCCCGTTGGTCAGAGGGTGCTCGACCGACGTGAAATGTTGTTTTGTACCTAGTCTGGTGACGAAGTCTTGGAACCCGTGGTCGGTGAACTGGGTACCGTTGTCGGT